TCCGCGACATTTCCCTGAAAGCTATCCTTCTATCCCGCTTGATGCTCCCTCCGGCCATCTCCACTAACTTTTCTGCTTGACACTCCTGTCCTCTTTCTCTCAGACCTGTATGACTGGCCGGCCTCAGACAAAGGTCGGACAGTGGCCAAGCCTGTCGACTTGTGGTTGAACATCGCCTGAAACCATCATCTGCCCCCTCGCCAATCCACTCAGTCGTGCCAACGCTGGGCCGCCTACCTCAGCTTGGCCCATCCCATCCAAACTCCACTCGTTCTACCCGACCGGCTTTCTATGAACCACACGTCAAGCAAACATTCGTCGCTCTGGCAGCAAAGAGAGGCAGTGAAAGCGAAAGACACGAGGCAGCCGCTCTCATCTGCCGTAAACTGTCACAGTCCAGGCAATCTTCAGGCTGACTAGTCTTGACATCGGCTTGTCGGTATCGTGGCCAAGGGAGGAAGTTACTCAAAAAGCGGCGAGCAAAGCGCACAATCCGGGGGACATGGAGATGGGCGTAGAAACAGAAAGGAGCAGGAAAGGAGGGAGAAATAGAGAAAGAGAACAGACTGTCATTGCGTCTGGCAGGTGAGCCTTGTGGACTGATGTCTGGAGAGCGATTTCTCAAGGTGGAGCAATGTCCATGTATTACATAAATGAATCTGATGCCATGCAAGATATCATGCGTAGGCATAGGCAAATACGCATAAACGCCTAATGTGCATATCTGCCAAATATGTATGTGTATGATCATAAAGGGGCCCAGTGACGATTCCGGACAAGAGGACATTCATGTGTACAGATATAGGGGCACACAGAGCCAGGTATCACCTTAAGACTGTGGCTGCTGTCCTAAGACGGATCGCTTGAAAATAGCGAAAATCTTGTATCTGGCAGGCATGCCAACCGAATTTCAGACGAGCTAGTGACAGCGGCTCCAGAATACAGCTCCAAAGAGTGGGCAGCCTACAAGTGGGAGAGAGCTGTGATGTTACTGTCAGAACGGGACAAAATGGATAGATAGATATATAGATGAATGGTAGGTGTTTGGGCGGATAGATACGTAGGCTGTAGGGCAGGTGGAAATGGAGGCAGGGATGGTGGATTAAAAGGCTGGAGAAGATAAAGAGACACAAGAAGCTGCCAAGATGATAAATGACAAGGGGAGAAATGACATTTGGATATAATGCGAAGAGGCTGGAGCTACATGTGTGTGTGTGTGTGTGTGTGTGTGTGTGTGTGTGTGTGTGTGTGTGTGTGTGTGTGTGTGTGTGTG